TCTAGGGTCCCAGAGCAGATGGGCACTTAGCCCAGTGAGGAGGTGTGGGGTGAAGTTGAAGGAAGGCCTCCTGGGTCAGACAGTGCTCGACCTGACGCCCCTTGCCCCTCCCACACACACACTGGGGATTGAACACAGCTCCTTTGCACTGAGTGTCATACCCTGCCTTTTTTCCTTTTTCACAATAAAATCAATTTAATGGCAGATCCTTACCCCAAGGCTGCCAGGGTATTATCCAGGCAAGGAGAAGAGATATTTGCTGTTGTCTACAGTGCCTGGCAGTGCATAGAGGGGTGGCTCAGGAGCTGTTTGGCACTTAGTTGAGTGAGTAAATGGATAAGTAAAAAGGCCCTCAGTGTTCAACATCATGGGATCCTTTTAGCTCAGTCCTTACCATCAGCTACCCCAAGTCCAGATGAACCCTGTGTTGTCTCTAAGAGTAAATTTTTTTTGTTCCTTGATACGCTACCTTATGTCAGCTGTCAGGACTTGGACCCAGTGTGAAGTTCTAAACTAGCTAGAGAGGGGCGCAGTCTGACTCATGATCAGATGCATGTCCCACAAGGCCACAGGGCCCAGCACATGGCTTGTCTGGTTTGTCATATGGCTGCAGAGGCACAGATGAGGGTCTGTAATTCCCCTAAGAGAAGTCAGCAAGACACAGGCTCCCAGTCTCTCTGGTCTCTCTGGCCCTGCCTCCCTGTGAATGGAGGCTTTTCGTTGAGCTGGTTTGTGAATAATGTGAGGCTGTCCTGCCAGGCGTGACTCCATGCATGGGACGAGACTGGTCGGAATGCTAGTCCATGGCAACAATGAGTGAGCAGGAGTTCTGCCAAGGTCTGGGCCAAGAGGCTTCCAGAAAGCAGACAGGCAGGGAGCATGGCGATGGTCTGCAAGGGTCTGAGCAGAAGGAACCCGAACTCATGGGTGCTGGGAGCCTTAGTGTTACTTCAGGGAACATTCTGCTTGCTGGCTGGGCTTGGCTGTGGTAAAACCAAAGAGCAGGTAGCCCCGCAACCTGAGAAATCAGCCAGGCTCCCAGAGGAAGGGGCCAGTCCTAAATGCAAGGACTGCAAGCTGGGTTAGATGATTCCCCAGTGCCCCAGGGAGAATGGAGGAATCAAAGGAGAGGCTGGCCTAGAGTATTAAACCAGTGGACCATTAAACCAGTCCAAAACATGGGCACACAAACCCCTTTCATTTCATTGTCCACTTTCTGCCAGTCTGGAAGCCTTGCTCCTGACAGATATAGTGCCAAGCTCCAAAGGGGTGGAGAATCACATTTCCTCTAAAAGATCCAGTCAATCCATTTTGGGTACCTTCAGGTTCCCTTTCTATAAATTAAACCACCTGTTTACCTCTAGTTTTTAAACTTTAGAGATTTCCCAAGTTATTTATTAACCCATTCAGTTGAAATTTTCCAGAGTAGACAATTCTCTTATTTCTCATCAGGAATTAAGGAAGATGAAGAGATTTCTTTTGCAAACCCAGGGCCCTCCTACATACTAGGCAGATGCTCTACACTGAGCTAGATTCCTTTCCTGCAAAGGTAGTATAAAGTTTAGTGCTCTGTGTGTGTGTGTGTGTGTGTGTGTGTGTGTATGTGTGTGTGTGTGTATTTAGTCTGAAAAAGAAAAAAAAATCAAGCAAGTGACCTGAAGATGTAGTCTTATAAAAAAACACATGGATAAGAATTTAATACTAGTGCACTTACAGGCACCCGAAGAGGGGAGGCTTGGAGACACATAGCAGCCATGGGACTAGCTGCGGGGGCCAGCTAGCCAGGGAACGGGCCTTAGAAAAGTCATCGGCACGTTGAGACAGCCCTTCTCAATAGTGAAGTCACCTGAGAGGAGCAGGCAACCTTGAACATCAAGCAAAGCACCCAGCATTCCAAAACAAAAGTATTAATCCTACCTCACTGCAAAGACGGACAATTTATAAACAGGTGAAAGCGCACACAGCTCTCACAAAACCGCTAAGGTGGCGAAATACAGTCTGAACATAAAAAAGACAGATGTTAGCAGGAAGGTAGGGTTAGAAGGCTCGAGATACTATTCGGCTGGCTTTTAGGAGCTCATCAGTGCCCTGCCACTCTCCCCAGAAGGCAGATGTGTAAGTGACTAGAATAAGCCGGGAGACCCTAAATGCCAGGGCAAAACACAACTCTCTGTTATTCCCTCTGCCCTCCTGCTACACAGTTTCTTGGTGTTGTGTCTGGGCCTATAGCTAAACATCCATCCACCCATTCATCTAGCACCCAGCCATGCACGCATGCAGACTTGTACCCAGCTATCTAATATGCATTCCTGAATCATTAGAGAGTAAGCTACACACAAAATCGCCCCTTACCCCAGACACTTCAGTATCTATTTTCTGAGAACAAGATGTTTTCTGGGCCTGGGATTTGGCTCCGTGGTTCCAAGTTCGATCCCCAGTACCAGAAAAAAAAAAAAGATGTTTTCTTATGTAACCACAGTTATGTACGTATGTAGAGATATATATGTATCTCTATATACAGACATTGTATATGTGTGCATGTACACACACACACACACACACACACACACACACACACACACACACGCAGAGTCCCCAGACATTTAAATTGTGAACTTTCACAGATACAAACTGACCTCACATGAGGAATATTCCTAGTAGCCCATGAGTCTGTTGGACAATTCCACAGTTGTGTTTCTGTATACTTAAAAGTAAAAGTACATGCGGCCACCTGCCTTGCAAGCAAGGACCCCATGCTCAAGGACCCGAGTTTGAGTGCCGGTACCAAAAAAACAAAAAACAACAACAAAAAAAGGAAAAATAGTTTATTTACAGTATTTTTTGTGGGCTTTTTTTTTTTTTAATGCTTTACGTTGTATATTTGTGCCAAAAGGGTATAGGACTCACTTTGTCAGACTTAGGAACAAGTGCCATTTCAGAAGACTAAATTGGATTCAAGGTGACAAAAATATGTATATATTAAAAAGAAAAACTTGTATAAACATTTAATGCTAAATTTATTGAGATGAGATTAATACGAGTTACCTTTGGCCTCTATAATTATGAGATGCTTTTTTTGTTTTGTTTTGTTTTTTGTTTGTTTTGAGATATGGTCTTGCTATGCAGTCCATTCTGGCCTTGAACTTGCTATGTAGTCTAAGCTGGCCTCTTACTCACTGCCTCAGCCTCCCCAGTGGTGGGATTCTAGGCATGCACAACCACACTTAGCCTATATGTTATATACTTAAGAATTTCAACAAATTTAACATGCACTGCTATGGTAGTACATACCTGTAACGCCAGTACTCTTAGTGGCTGAGGCAGGAGGATCGAGCCCAACCTGGTAACTTAGTGATTGGTGAGATCTTGTCTCAAAAAGGGCTGGGGATGTAGCATGAAACTCACTATGAAGGCCCTAGGTTTAACCCTTAGTGCCAACAAAAAAATGGGCAGCAGTAGCTAATACTTTGATATACCGTCCATATCCCATTTTTCTAACTGACCATGTAATGGCCTGTTGCCACATCATTTCTTTTCCCTGTAGTACAAGCTACAGTGTAGGATCAGAAACTTGTACTTGTCCTATCTCATTAGGCTTTGTGAATCAGGGGCATTGCCTAGCACTTCCGTTTATGTTTACTATGATACTAATCTTGAAGAATAAGAGTCATGCATCCCTTAAAAAAAGGAAAGCCTTTGTTTTGGGAAGTTTGTGTGTTTCTCATGACTAGATTCAGTTATGCATTCCTGGCTGGAACGCTCCGTGGATGGTAAGCTGTCCCAGATGTCACTTTAGAAGGTTCTTGATGCCTTTTCGCACTGACGGGAATCATGGATCATTTGGTCCAAGTGTTGATTCTTCCCTTGTATATACCTTCTTTGAAACTAAGACAGAATCTGTTGAGAAGCACTTTTAAGACCATGCAAATAAAGAGTATACCCTGTGGTTCTTCTTTTTCTGTTGTTTATTTATTGGTTTTTTTTGTTTGTTTTTTGTTTTTGAAACAAGATCAAACTTTATAGATCAGGCTGGCCTGGAACTCATTATGTAGCCCAGGCTAGCATCAAACTTGTAGCAATCCTCCTGCCTCAGCCTCCCGAGTCCTGGGAACCCCCACACGTGGCTCCCGGTCTAGTATTTCTGCATCCATTTCTGATTCTGCCCATGCCACTCTTGGCTGTTGTGATGGGCTGCCCACAGTGAGTTAGTTTCTTCCTTTAGCCCTGGCCCACCATTTATCACATGATACTAGTATCCCATGAGCGCGAAGCCTACTCTTTTCTTCCAGACATTTCTTTCTGTATCAACAGTGTGGGGTCAGGAATTTCTGTTTTCTCAATGACTTATAATTCACTGCTGTGTTTAATTATTTTTGGTGCTTACACATCCCAGATCTGCCTAGTGGGAGGCCCTTCAAGCTGGCCCCGATGTCTGTCCTTGGGATATTCTCTGTCTCTTCTGGTTTTAAAACAAAACATTTCCTTACTTTCTGGCATAGCAGGATGTTCCAGGCTTGTCTTGCACTTTGTGTTTTGTACTTGCCCTGCCCCAGCCCTAAAGCAGTCATTTCTTTAAGAAGTCCTGATTCCTTTTTGTGGGAACATATAAAAGATAAAGATCTGAGCTTTGGGTGCTTCCACACTCTGACAACAAAAATAATGGCCAAAGAAGTAAAGCCACATTTGGTCAGACTCAGTCTTTTGACTTGTGTTTTGCTAAAGTATTTAACGTCTTACATGAATTTATACTTTAAATATAACATATGCATTGTATGTATGTAATATTTAAGTATAAAAATATAGTTTAAATTGCAACTATTTTAGAAACAATATAAATTTGGAAAGTGAAAACAATTCCTAATACTACTCTTTTTTTGTTGTTTTGTTTTGTTTTGGTACTGGGGATCGAACTGGGGATCTTGCACTTACGAGGCAGGTGGTGGAACCACTGAACCAAATCCCTGGCCCCTAATACTACTCTTAAGGACTATTTTGAAAAACTCCTGGCTTTTTTTTTTTTAGATGTAGTTTACACACAAAGACCTTGGTCTTTTTCAGCAACCCATAGCCAGGTGCAGTGGCACACACCTGTAAAAGTCTGTTACACAAGGAGCTTGAAGTGAGAAGATCAACAGTTCAAGACCAGCCTGGACAACACAGTGAGACCCTATCTTGAAACAACACACAGATATTTGTAGTTCTACATAGTTGTTTTCTAGAATTAGTATGGATTCTCTTCCTCTTGCACTTACGAATGAATATAACAAAAATGTCACACACCTACCGATAACAGCTTTTCCACAACTCTATTGTCTTCTACTCTAGAGGCCTTCAGTAGTCTTAATCAGCTTCCCTTTAGTCTGAAATATAATATCATCTGGGCACCTTATCTGCCTGGTATTTCTTAATCTTTTATGGGATAAACTGCATGCTTGTTTTGTGTGATTAAAAAGCATTGTAATAAAGTTCTGTTTGTTTTTTAATTCCAGACTGGTCTGATGTACTGGCCTTTCGTGCAGGTGAGTTTCAGGCTCCTCAGAATCTGGGCTTGGGAGTCCAGCTCAGTGGTAGGGCAGTTGCTTAGCATGTGTGAGGTCCTGAGTTTGAGACCCAGCGCTGCCTTACTCATAAGGGCAGCTTTTGTCTCTGACCACTATGGCCTCTAACGGACCCTCTCTGTTCCAGCTGACCAACTTCAGCCTCGTTCCTGTGCAGTGGAGGACAGCTTACACCGGACTCTGTGGTTTCTTCTGGGCCACCTTCCTTTGCTTTTCCCAACAGAGCGGCGATGGCACGTTGAAGTCAGTCTTCATTCTCCTCCGTACAAAGGCAGCCGGAGCAGTCGAGAGACCTCCAGAGCAGTGAAAAATCAAGGACTCCTTTAACATGACCAAGTTTTCTTTTTCCCTCCCTAAAGGCACTGGATTGCCTGCAGAGAAAATACTTGATTTACCAGTTATGGGCTTCATTTTGAACTATTCCTTAGACCCACTTATGTTTTAATTACTAATTATTATTATTGTTGTTGTTATCATTTTTAAAATTTAAATTGAATTTATTGGTACATTCTGGATAGACAGTACAGTTACATTCATTACTGGGATCTTGTACCTTCACATGCCAGGTCTTGGTTCTCATTTTTTCCCCTTGTCCTCACCCTGTCATTTTGTTTTTTAAAGACAGGGTCTTACCATGTAGCTCTTAAACTCACTATGAAGTCCAGGCTGGCCTTGGACTTGTGATCCTCCTGCCTCTGCCTCCTGCGTGCTAGGATTACCGGTGTGTACCATCACACCCCACCCAGTTATTATTTTAAATTTTATCCACATCTTTTGCCTTTAGTCTGAAAGTCTTAGTTCTCATACGATTTCACTTCTCTGACATTCTGGTTAAAAATATCAATTGTGAGAAAGTGACATTTTAGAATTATTAATAAATACTTACATTTAATATTTCAGTATGCCAGTTGAGTTCAGGAAAGCCCAGTTCTGATTGTTTACATCTCCATTCTAAAATCTCAGGTTGATTAGATTACCTTTGTGTCAGAAATAGTCCTTATAGCTTTCTCCCTGTTTTATTTTGCTGTTCAGACAGGGTTTCACTGTGTAGTTCATGCTGGCCTTGAACTCACAATGTAGCACAGGCTGGCCTTGAACTTGCAGCAATCCTCCTGCCTTGGAGAGATAATCTTTATAGTAAAATTTCTATTTCCATAAGCTTTAATCAAGGTCAATATTGAATAAGATTTTTCCCCAAAATACTCTGTAATAGTTTATTATTCTAATACTAAAATTCTGTAAGTACTTTTTTTTTTTTTTTTTTTTTTTTTTTTTTTTTTTTTTTTTTTTTTTTTTTTTTTTTTTTTGAGACAAGGTCTTACTATGTAGTTGAGACTGACCTGGAACTCACTATGTAGCCCAGGCTGGTCTCGAACTCACAGCGATCCTCCTGCCTCAACCTCCCTAGTGCTGGGATTACAGGTGTGTTTCACCACGTCCGGCTAGTACTTTTCTTAATTATCAAAAAAGAGTGGTGGAGCTGGGGATTTAGCTCAGTGGTGCCAGTACCTGCCTTGCAAGGGCAAGGTCCCGAGTTTGATCCCCAGCACCAAAACAAAACAAAATAATGTATGATTAATGTGTTCTGTAGGAAATATTTTATCAATGTCTTCTACTTTTAGAATATCAATATAGAGTACTTTAATTAATTTTTTAAATGTTGACCATGTTCATGCAGAAGAAAATATTTGACTTCTCCATGACCACAAACATAGCCACGCGCACACACGCACATGCACACACATACACGCGTGCGCACATGGTCTAAGTCACCCTGACTGGGCTTGAACTCCCATTCTTACCTCATCCTCCCCCAGTGTTGGGATTACAGGTGTGCCACCATGTCTGGCATGAACTGTATAAAGTCAAAGTTCTAAAAATGATTTGGATACAAACTCCCAATAATGAATGTCAGCATACTGTATACCTAAAATGTACCGATAAAATTAATTTAAAAAAATAATAATTTGGAGCTGGGCATGGTGGCGCATGGCTGTAATCCTAGCACTCTGGGAGGCTAAGGCAGGAGAATTCCAAGCCCAGCCTGGGCAATTTATCGAGACCCTTTCTAGGAGACAGACAGGAGGATCACAAGTTTGAGCCCTGCCTGGGCAACTGAATGACTGTGTGAGTCCCTATCTCAAAATAAAAAATAAAAAAAGGGATGGCCATGTAGTTCACTGTGAGGGCCCTGGGTTAAATTCCCTATACCAAAAACAAACAAACAAAAAAAAAACTAAACTATTAATTTGGGCTGAGGGTGTAGCTTAGTGGTAGAGCATTTGCCTGGCATGCAAAAGGCCCTGATTTGAATCCTCAGCACTGAAAAAATAAAAATAAAAACAAGAAATTTTCTTCCTCTGGGAAGAAAAACTCAAATTCATACTGTACCATGAAAAATAGTTTCCTCAAATTTCACAGTGCTGTCATTATTTTCTTTCTCTCTTTTGGGGGGAGGGGGTGTTTGCTGGGGAATTGAATCCAGGGCCTTGTGCATGCTAGGCAAGTGCTCCACCATTGAACTATACCTTCAGCCCACGGATGTTATACATTTAAAATGCAGTGCTTTAAAATAAATCTTTATATTTTAATTTAGACCTAAGAAACTTGACCCGATCTTTCGGATACATCTAGTATGTCCAATACCAGCAGGTTTAAAATTAGGGGCATAACTGGGCACAGTGACATGTGCCTGTAGTCCCATGTACTTGGGAGGCTGAAGCAGGAAAATTGCTTGAGTTGAAGTCCATCCTGAGCAACAGAGTGAGACCTTATCTGACAAGTAAGATTAAAAAATAAATACAAAAGTATATATAAAATTATGTGAAAACCTCAAGAAGTATCAGCGAATTTCACCTCAGAATTACTTCGAAATTCTTTTTTTTTTTTTTTGGTTTTTTTGAGACAGGGTCTCACTATGTAATGGACACTGACCTGGAACTCACTATGTAGCCCAGGCTGGTCTCGAACTCACAGCGATCCTCCTGCCTCAGCCTCCTGAGTGCTGGGATTGCAGGTGTGTACCACCAGGTCCAGCCTACTTCAAAATTCCAATGGAATTTTCCTGAGATTTCAAGATGTGAAGCACTGAACTCTTTACTTTTTCTTGAGAGTTTGTATTTAAGATCAATTTAAGAATGTATATCTAAATTTTTGAGCACGTAATTTATATAATTTGTAATATATTTCTAGAACTCATAAACATGTAACTTCTAAGTATAATTTATTTGAATGTGATAGATATTAATATATTTTACATTAGAACAATAAGGAATTTCTTGATGTTGAATTCTAAAAGATGTGTGATTTGCATTATTTTAAAAGTAGTTAATACAACAGAAAAACTATTTTATAATACATAAGACAAATTTTATCATCAAAAAGTCTATGCAGGGTAATTACAGTAAGTACTACCTGCTACATTTTTTGTAGGTTTCTATTTGCAGTCTTGGAGATGTACCCCTTACTCAGATAACTGAAAATGATTTCTCTGTTCAGGGGAGATCTTTCCAACTTTATAAATGGATGCAACAGAAATGAGGTGAGGTTTTGGAGGAGAAAGCAAAGAGCTAGAAAAAGTATTTAAGTGCTAGGGATGTAGCTCAATAGCAGAGTGTTTGCGTAGAATGTGCGATGCCCTGGGTTTGACCTCTAGCACACAAAAAAGAAGAAATAAAATTAAAAAAAAAAACTATGTAGCTTCTACCTTAGAGGGAAATTTCCACTCACCATTCCACAACTTGAAAAATGTAGATGCTTCTGTGTGGCTTACTTGTAATTATAAATGGTGCAAAATTTGCACCTTAGTCTTTTTTATTGTAGGAAAACTAACAAAAGTTATTCTCTTTTATCTGTATTGTAGTTTATTTTGTGAGAAACAATTAGGCAGGTTGACAGTGTATGTTTAAAATTTTTTAAGAACCAAGTTGGAGGGCCTTTTTATAAGACCTTCGTATTTTTCTCGAGATCTGTTCAGTAGGATGATTTAGTGAATAAAATAATTGATTATTTGCCTACTCTACTATTCGTGAAATTGGGCAATTAGGGATTCATACAAATGAAGGATGCACTGGGGAAATTTAATTATTACCTAATTTGTATTGATGCTGTTTGGATGGGAATAAGAAATGTTTAATGAATGAAAGAAATTACAGATACTAAAAGTTAAGGCTCAAAGAAGAAAATATTTTCATATTATAGTACTTCATTAATATAATTTTATTTTTTAATGATTTGAAGATAAGTATGTTCTATTTCCTATGCATTAAAAATCTATATATTAAAAAAAATTAACTTTGGTATTTGGGGCTGTATCTAAATAGGGCTTTGCATTAACAATGTTGACTATGCTTGGCCAAATTCAATGTGGATAGTGTCTTTAATAGAGATGGATTACCAGGAACTACAGTTCCTAAGTCATACATCATTGCTATATGCTGTATTTGATTACAGTTTTTCTTCCAAAGGCCATGATGCTTTAGGATTCATTTGTAGCTACCAAAAATATTTTCTGTGGGCTGGGGATTTAGCTCAGTGGCACCGCACCTGCCTCACAAGTGCAAGGTCCCTTGTACCAAAAAAGAGAAGAAAGAAAGAAAGAAAAATATTTTTGTGCAATTTACTTTTAAAATGTCCAGTGGGATTTCATGTGAATTTTGACAGTGTTTGCCATCACAAATTATGTCTAGAAAATGCTTTAACAATATATATTCTGGAGGCAGCTTTCCTTTGAAATTAGGTCCATCTTCTGAAAGTATTAAAAAGATAATGGATTTCTTTGCCTGAAGATTTTGACCTTGCACTGGCTACATTTAATCCAGTTTTACTTCTGAGTCTTAAGAGTCTAAAGGAGCTAAATTGCTGAAAATGTGACCCAAAGTATTGGAAATTTCCATCAGCAGCTCATAAGTGCAAAGAAAAATCTCGTGTTTAAAGATAAAATATGCATTTGTGGTTTAAAGATGAAGAACATGTAAAGAGATGTGAACAGTAGTTAGCTAAGAAAACAGACAAGAGTAATTAAGAACTGAGCAATATTTTTGGCACGTATGCATAAGAGCTTGTGTTTTTCTAATTCTTTATGAGTTTTTCCTTAACCAAACCTTCCTTCATCCGTTTCTTCTTCCTCTGTCAACTCCCAAGCAAAACTTCTTTTTCTGGGGCAGGGGACGTAGCTGTGTCACAGAGCACGGAAGCCCTGGGTTCACTGCCCAGCACACAGACAGCAACAAGAAAGCCCCAAAACAAAAACAAAACCTAGATCTTCTACCCCTTCCCCACTGGCTGCACCTGGACCACCCAGACCCTCTAGGGAGGTTGTGGGTTAGAGATCAGAGTCCTCAAGTTCAGCCTCGCTGTAGAGAAGATGGTGCCTCCCCTTTTCCTCTCCTCCTTGTGAGTGACCTGGCCTTTATTTTTTCTGGCTATAGTGCTCTATCTTCCAGATTAGTTCTCATTTCTTTCCTTTGCCTCTCGCAAATCCTATTTTCATCT